CAGTGCACACCCCAGGGACAGGTGTCGACACCAGGGGACAGTGATCGGCAGGGCCTGGGTCCAGAACCAGGGTCCAGAACCAGGGGGCCCATGAAGCGGGCCCTGGACCGCCCTGGTTCTCCACAGGCCTCTAGAACCATGGGGCCCGGTTCAGAACCCCACGGACAGGTGTCGACACCAGGGGACAGTGGTCGGCAGGGCCTGCTTAGCCAGAACAAGGGTCCAGAACCAGGGGGCCCATGAAGTGGGCCCTGGACCGCCCTGGTTCTCCACAGGCCTCCAGAACCATGGGGCCCGGTTCAGAACCCCAGGGACAGGTGTCGACACCAGGGGACAGTAATCGGCAGGGCCTGGGTCCAGAATCAGGCTCCAGAACCAGGGACCGGGCCCATGGAGATCCTCTCCCCAGAGACGGAGCACCGCGGGCCCGCCACAGGCTGAGCGCACCTTGTGACCTCTACACAACCACCTGCAGGGCCCATGGACCGGGCCCATGGTCCAGAACCAGGGACCGGGCCCATGGAGATCCTCTCTCCAGAGACAGAGCACCGCGGGCCCGCCACAGGCTGAGCGCATAGTCTGACCATCCACACAACCACCTGCAGGGCCCCTGCTTTTTTAAAATGCTAATTCGGGGGACAGAACTGAGCATTAAATGGACATAAAGCCGCACAGCACTTGACCTTTGACCCCTAGAGAACGCCGCACAGGGCCCGTGGAAAATATACAATATTAATAGGACAGAACTCGACATCACAGGGGACTTTACTCGGCAGGGCCTGGGTCCAGAACCAGGGACCAGGCCCATGGACCGGGCCCATGGTCCAGAACCAGGGACCGGGCCCCTGGAGATCCTCTCCCCAGAGACAGAGCACCGCGGGCCCGCCTGCAGACGGGCTGAGCACACCGTCTGACCTCCACACAACCACCTGCAGGGTCCATGGACCGGGACCAGTCTCCAGAACCAGGGACCGGGCCCATGGAGATCCATTCGGGGGACAGAACTGAGCATTAAACGGACAGAAAGCCACACAGCACTTGACCTTTGACCCCTAGAGAACGCCGCACAGGCTAATAGGAAAATATACAATATTAATAGGACAGAACTCGGCATCACAGGGGACTTTAATCGGCAGGGCCTGGGTCCAAAACCAGGGACCAGGCCCATGGACCGGGCCCATGGTCCAGAACCAGGGACCGGGCCCATGGAGATCCTCTCCCCAGAGACAGAGCACCGCGGGCCCGCCTGCAGACGGGCTGAGCACACTGTCTGACCTCCAGACAACCACCTGCAGGGCCATGCTCATTCGGGGGACAGAGCTGAGCATTAAAGGGACAGAAAGCCGCACAGCACTTGACCTTTGACCCCTAGAGAACTTTGTAAAACCACACCCCTTGGTGAAACCCACACATGTGTTTTCCCAATCCTGTGAGTTAACCCGCTTTCAACTTCAACTTTTAAATATGAAAGATTTAAAATTCAGCATTAGACTGCATTTACACACACTGGGATCCACACACTGCACCTCCAGAACCAGCGGAGCAAGTGGAGCTCCTCTCCCCAGAGACAGAGCACTCTGGGCCCGCATCAACCTCCGTGGAGCAGCCCCTGGTTCTCCAGAACCCACATCATGTCACACACACCATCCGTTTTGCCCACCTCAGCCCAAACTGGCACTCAAAAGCTCGAAAAACACCAACAGTGATCCCGTTTGTCCAACTTGGGACCCATTTGTCCCACCTTACCCCTCGCCAAACGCACCGAAAACACTGTGAAAGTACTTAATACTCACATCTGTCCCACTTGGGTCCCATTTGCCCACCTCACCCCTCGCCAAACGATCCGATAACGCCGTAAAAGTACTTAATACACACATCTGGCCCTATTTGGTCCCCTTTGTCCCACCTCACCCCACCACCGGCACTCAAACAGTAAAAAAACAAAATTCACCCAAAATTCCCACTTCGTACCGACTTCTGGCACGCCAGAAACCAAAGGCAAGACTGCCACCCGGTGGGTCTGCTCTGTATTGCACATGCACCCAAAGGGCCCACTTGGGACCCTCCTGGCACTGTTAAAAGAGTACCGGGGTGGCCCAGTTGCTCTTCCTGCCATGGGGGACCCAAACGGGCCAGGAGTCTGGACGACAAATAGGACACTTCGGTCACTTTTTCTCTGGCTTCTAACCCACACCCTAACCCTAACCCTAAGATATAAAACAGCAAGCAACGTAGTTAGAGACATGAAGAAGAGCTGATTGCACTGTTTTTCCCATTTTTACGTCTGTCCGCGGATCTGCTTTTTTTTTCTGTCTGCCAGCGCATGCGCATTGATGTGTTTTTTTGAGGAAAAACATCCAAAACGTACGAAATAGTGTGCATAACTTCTCGTACGATTTCATACGCACTGATAATGAGAATATGTTGACGATTTTGCTCAGGAACCCAGAGTGGAGGCTTTGGTGATAAACCTGGGTACTTGCAACCTTCTCTGAGCACAAGCGCACTGCTCTAACCCACTAGGCCAACACTCCCCCAATTATTATTAACTTTATACTCTTCTATGTGGTCATCATTACTGTTTGCTGTTGTTATTTTTGCAAACAGCTGTTGTGACAAAAGCCCATATTTGAATTTCCCACCAATTACCTCCATGAGCTTTACTGCCTTTCTGGGGATGACACCTGCTACCAGTGCAGACTGCTGGGTCTGGAAATTCATGACTTTATCATCAAAAAGATGATCGGTGTTGGACTCTGATGTTCTGCTAGTGGTTTGTTCCTGAAGGCAGCAGGAGATGCTGAAAGTCTGAGCAAAGACACTATTTGCTGCATTAATAGAAGACTGTATTTGGCAATAAAGGAGATACAAACATCTTTAAAACCTTCATAAGCCACAGAAGTTTAAACATGCATGAAGTAGGGATTCTAGAAAATTGCATATAGCATGAATTAGGCTACAGAGAAACTTTGGAACAAGTGGACTATTTTTTATAATTTTTGATACAAGATTTCTCAATGTTATTGTTTAGCTTTAAACAACATTGACAGATAACGTCCCTCTGAAACAAATGAAAGGGATTTTAATATTGTACCAAAAAAAATCGTAATTATATAAAATAAATCCTTATAATTGTGGAATTTACTTCATAGAAGCGGTTAGAATGTGTGTTTTAGGCTGCTTGAGCATTTAGTTAATCTGCTATTGTTGCTGAATCAATGAACCTGTGATCGACCTCATGGTCTCTGGAAGAAAACTGCAGACCTGCATAAACTGCAGACCTGCATTTATATTTATTATTTACACCTGACTTGATGAAGCTGTAGGAATAAAATCAGAGGCATGTTTGACTAAACCGAGAGTCTGGTGCCTGAGCCTGGCTTTATCTCTTATTCTGGGAATTTTTAAATTCATTTTTTCTTAAAAAGGCCTCTGGGCTAGCAGAACACATGGCTAAGGCCCTGGATTACTTTTAAGAAATCACTTACTTTAGGGTGTTGAAAAGTGATTCAGCAATTCCATTAACTGCTGTTGAAAGAGTTTTTATTTTATCTGTTTCTAAAAGAAGTTTTATTTGTTTTTCTGTTGTATTTTTCCTGAAGAGCATAAAGAAGATGAGGATGGCGAGAACTGTGAAAACACCTGAAGAATCTTTAGTTTAATTTAAGCTTTTCTCAACATAAACTCTGCATAGAAATGCAGTCTGGGCTGTTTATGTTACATGATAAAAATACATAGTGAAAAATATGAGTGTACCAAATGTATAAAAAATTAAAGCAGTGTAAATTAATGTTTCAATAAGGGGAAGTTTTTATTTTTTAATAATTCTTTTGTTTTTTGTTTTTTGCATGTTTAGCAGATTTAAACATTTGTTCTGTTCATTAAAATGTAGCAGGGGTCTTCCAGTCCTCCAGGTCTGCTGTTCTGAACCTTTTAGATGTGTCTCTGCTTCCACACACCTGAGTCAAATGGCTGAATTACCTCCTCCATTACAGAATCAGTATGTGTGAACTTTGAAGGAGTTCTGAAGTTTAAAAATGAAATCTGTTTAAGAAAATCTGCTAAATGCTTTTAAGTGTAAAGCTGAGATGAGCTGAGAGGTTGTTTAGTTGATGACATCATTGTGTGCCTAAAGCATCACAACAGGCTGCCTGGTTTAAGAGAGAGGAGTTTTTGTTTTTATTTTATTTCAGCTTAATTATGAATGAACATGTTTTATAGTCTTAATTTCTGTAGAAAATCTAAAAAAAATAAATAAATTTCTATTAATTTCTGTCCATTTGGTTTTTCAATCTACTGCTATTAATCTCCATGCTCTGTTTGTTATGTCTCTCTGATCTTAAATATGTTCTCAGTTTTTTTATTTGGTTTCCAAAAAGTATTACACACATGAGTGTGATTGTTTGCCTACAAATGTGGCAAATGTGGTATTATGTAGCTGTAGCTTTCAAATTAACCAAGTTGCTGTGTCTATTAATGTCTGTTAATGTCACCCATCAATGTGTTAACTACGTATATTTCTCTGTTCATTGTGGGCTATAACCTCCAGAGCTCTGCTGCTGCTGTTCACCACATTCTCATCAATCACTTCCTCTTCATTTAATAGAAAAACACTTCAGAGGTTAAACTGGAAACCAGCAGGTTTTAAAATTAAAATACAATCTTACCAGTGTGACTGATCTATGAAATTAGACATTTGATCTGCTGCTCTTCATCAACACAGATCAGATCTCCTGGATTTATCTGATTGATTCTCCAGGTTTCTAAAACATCTAAACAAAAGGAGAAGTGCATTTCTCACATTTATCTAAAGTAAAAATATTCACACGCTGATCTACTTCCTCTTTTGTTGACTTCTTGCACTTCACTGTCTGTGATGTCTTAAAATGGGCATGAACAAAAAGCTCTCACAATGTTTAAGTTTATATTTTTCACAGCAGCTTTTCCTCACAATATTTATTTTTTTATTAAAAGAATTAGAAGTAAGAGTTGGTGATTTAGTCTTTCATCCTCAGTTAAAACAAAGAGATGTTTTTACCAAATAAAGCATCAAGTCGCCCATCAGTCAGAGTGAGGAAGTGGTGAGTCTCAGGAAGTAGAAGCTACTTGTGTGTTCAGGAGGCAGTCAGACAGTTCTGAGGGTGAGAGCAACAGACGCACGATGGCTCAACTCAGATGGATTCAAGGGTTTTTATTAATGATCCTGCAGCTCACAGGTAGGAAGACTGAAAACCTTTGCATAGAGCTATAAATGATAGATCTACTTTATTAACTGTGTCTGTGTTCAGATTGAATATTTCTGGTTCTGTTTTATCTTCTAACAGTCGCTGCAGATCAAACCTCTGTTTCAAAGAGAGCTGGAGATGAAGTCACATTGAAATGTTCAACAGGGATCGATGGTCAACAGAAGTGTAGCAGCACTACATGGATCTTAGTTGATTCAGGAAACAGAGCATCAGTAGAGCTGGTTGAACTCGGTCAGATTAATAATGACATCACTAAAGCAGACAGACTGAGTCTAACAGCAGACTGTTCTCTGGTTATAAAGAAGGTCAGAGAAAAAGATGCTGGACGTTATTACTGTCAACAATGGGAAGGAGAGAAGAAGGAAAGATACACTAAAGTTCATGAGTCTATTTTAGATCTGTCTGTTCTTAACGGTGAGTTTTAACATTTAATTAATTATTGAAGCACTTTAAGGTCAAAATATTTTATGCAGCAATATGGGGAACAGATAACATTGATGGATGTAATTTGTCTGATTTTGTCTTTTACTATTTCCATCTTCATCGAGATTAGCTTCAATATTTGGACACAAATGCATGCTTGACTAATTAATTGTTTTTAATGACTAAAATCAACTGATATAGTTATTTAATCTGTTTAATACTTTGAAAGAGTTTTAAAGACTAACATATGAACAGTTTTAGTTTCTGACACTTTGTTCTTGTTTCCAGAAACATCAGAAGAAAAAGTTCAACCAACGAACAAACCTGGAAACACAAACTCAAAGACAACCAGACCAGAAACAGAAAATGATTCAACAACCTTTCAAGGTAGTGATTGTTCTAATGTTCATAGGATATATATTATAATCTGCCTATCGCAGCATTTTTTTTTTTTTTGGCTTTTATATAATTTTGTTCCTCTATAAAACATCAAGCATCTACTGAAAAGTAATCAATTAGGTCCAAGTAAAATGACGGAATAAAGACAAAATAAGAATAAAAAAAAAAATCTGATAAAACTTTAGTTATAAGTCAAACCTTTGGATTTAGAAAACATTGTGCTACATTTCTGTACAAAATATTTAGAAACTTTGTTTCTTATTTTTCCTGGAAACTGAACATATGAAGCCACCACTGGAAACAAGGACCCAAAGCAAACAGTTGAGAGCAAAATAACTTCTGTCACAACTACAGATCGAGGTACAGTAGGACTCCTTAGTATTCAGTAAATTAATATGTATATATGAAGATGTGTTTGGTTTATTTTCAGCTCCTGTTACCAAGTTGTTATTTCAGTCATCTTTAAACATACTGTGGTGATAATCAGATGGAGAGTTAAGGATGAGAGTGCTGATTGATAGAACCAGAAATACATTTTTTGGAATGATCAATTTCTAAGATAAATCTGAGTCAGTTTTAAAAGACAGCATCAATGTTCATACAGTAGCAGCCATTCAAAATCTTTCTTCCCAGTCAATCGCCAGCCGAATGGCAGCCCACCTTCCTGTAACTCCCAGCGAAAACCCCTGCAACTTCCAGCCTCTGGAGTGAAGCCTTTTTTCTCCTAGGCGTGCATTTTCTTTACTCTAAATCCACCCTTTCATTGAATTACAGGGTCTGACCAAGTAAAGGAGATTCTCTTTAGATCTTAAATGTCCACAAATCATGACAGAAAGAATATTTTAGTACAAAGATTGATGGTAAAAAAGGAACTGCAGAGGATCGGCCAAGGACCTATCAAAGAAAGTGGGTAAATTTGAAATGGCTACTACAGTAAAAGTCACTTCATCCTCACACAGAATGGGACATTTTAGAGCTTTAATGAATTTAGAGCCATTGTCAGAATGATTTAGTGTCTTTAGTCTTCTGTCCTCAAGTTAGAAGATGATGAACTGTAGAAGATCACTGACATCACAGGGAACTAGGATTAGCTTCAGGATTTGAAAAACATCTAAACTGTTTTCAAATGTATTTCTAAATTAATTTTTGTAGATTAACCAATCTAATTTTATTATCTGTAATATTTTAAAATAACTTTAAAAAGTGAAATACAGTTTTGATTATTTTGATGTGTTTTTCTTTTCAGGTGGGAAGGCTCAAACAACAAAGAAACCTGGAAGCAAACAATCTACAACAATCCAAGCAGGAACAGTCAATACTCCACCAACTTTTCAACAAAGTGATTCTTTAATGTTTAAACCATATCTACCTATATATGTTAAATTAGCTATTAATATCATGTCTATATTTCTCTGCATTTTAGCATATGTTTTTACAATTCTTTCACTATAGTTCCTTGATATGATCAAGCATCTCTTTGAAATAAATTAATTAATCTAATGCAAATCAGGAAATGTAGGCATGCAGCATATTTGGAAACTTTTTTCTGTTTTCTGATTTTCCTGAAAACTCAACAAATAAAGCCACCACTATAAAAAAAAAAGGAGAAAAAAAGAGGCTTAAAGCAAATTAGGACCCTGTCATACTCTGTAGATTAATATAAATATGCAGCTGATGTTGATGTGTGGTTTGTTTTCAGCTCCTGGAATCACTGCTGGAGTCTTGGTTCCTCTCATTTTCTTAATATCTGCTATGGTGATCATCAGACTGAGAATAAAGGGTAAGAATGAGGACTGGGGGAAAAAAAAAAACATCTTTAGTGATTATATGTGCTTGTGATTAATCATAGTCTTGTTTTTCTTTTCAGGAAAGAAAATAGAAACCAGTGAAAATGCTGTGAGTGAAGTTCAAATATACTTGATCTTATGTGTCTTTCCTTCTCTTCTTGTTCTTTTTTTGTTGTTGTTTTTTTTTTTTGTTGTGTCATTGGAAAGCTCTGTGTTTACACCTTAAAGCTTTTCTCTCCTGTTCTTTTGCTGAGAAGAGATCTCTCGGGACAAACTGTATATGTATTAAATAATCATGAGACATGACAACAGATTTTGACAGAAACTGTAATCTTACTTAGATCAGATAAGTTGCTATGAGTTAAAAAAGGGTAGTGCTTACAAACCTGGCTCGCTTCTGGTTGAAGTGGCCACGATAAACCATTAGAGAATCGTTTTATACAACTCCAGTCATTACACCATACTCATTTGCAAATGTTTGGAAACATCCGGCTCCAGCCTTATCAAATCATTACACCATTAGATCAAGGACACCGCTCTCATTCCATTCCCAAATCTTTGCAATGTGCAGAATAAAGATGACTTTTTATTCGGACAGAGGAACTGTCCTATTTAGATAAACTACTTCAGAAAACATTAACTCTGACATAAAACAGGCAGGTATTATTATGTTTTAAAAGACTTCATCGATTAAAATAATCCTAACAGTCCGTTATTTGCATAAAATCAAACAACCCAGCCTGACCCCTAATCCAGCAAGAACTAAGGGTGAATATTTGTTATGAAAATAAAATTCCTGGAAGGTGTGACAGCATAAAAAGGTTATCTGTTGCAATAAATCTAGAAATGTTTGTAAGATGTGCTCATATTCCTGTGCTTTGTCAGAGACCGGGTTGCTGGGGCAGCAGTCTCTGCAGAGATTCTGAGACTTTCCTCTCATCAGCATCCTCCTCAGCTGGGGGAAAACTGAGGCGTCCCCAGCCAGTCCAGAGACAGTCTCTTCATTGTGTCCTGGTTTGTCCACTGGGACTCCTCCTGGTGGGACATGCCTGGAACAGCTCCCTAGATAGGCATCCAGGACGTGAATTTGAAAAGAAAAGAAAAAAAACAAAGCATGTTATTAAAATTAGGGAAAACTTTTAACTTTTCTGAAATCAAGCTTAGGAAAGGAAGGTGAACATTTCCAACTTTGTACTTAAATGAAAGATAGTTTATTTATTTTCCCACCAGGTTGACCTTGGAGGTGATGTTTCCTATGCCACCATCACACATCCAAAGAAAAAGAAAAGAAAAACCAAGGTAATATGTTACTAAATGTTCATAGGTTCATAGGTTAATGTCATGTTTAAAAAAAAAAAATGAAACAGAGAAAAAAGTGCTGAAGTAAAGTTTGCTCATTGAGCTACCATTGTTTGTACTGCATGATGGTTGTAAATCATAAGAACAATCTTAATATGTTAATTTTGAGGCAAATTTTAATTTAGTAATACTTTCGGGCTAACTTTCTTGTACGAGTGCTCATTGTGTTATGTCTCTAGTCATAGGCGGATCTACTGGGGTGGCATAGAGTGGCAACTGCCACCCTAAATGACAGCCTTGCCACCCCTGCTGCCACCCCAGTTGGCTGTAGGGGTGGCGAGGCTTATAAATTATGGATAATTTGAGAATTACAACCGCTAATTTCCAATGTCGGACTGCAGTGAATGCAGCACGAGATGACAGAGAGCGACAGAGACTGATTAGTTTTGAAAACCGAATGGGGCAAAGTGAGGGAGCCAGGGGTGATGGGGAGAGGAGAAACGGGATGAAACAGGTAAAAACTGTTTAACTATCTATCGAGAAATTAAATCATAATGAAAGCACAATGATGCTAGCATAGCTGCAATGCTGATTTTGAGATGATAAAAATCAGGTTGCAGAACGTTATTTCTCTAACTATGATGTTAGTTAGGCCTGATGTTTCAGGCTCAGAAAGACATATTTGCGGTCAACTATGACAGAAAAGAGACTATCAAGTTTGAAAACGCAAAAAGGGATTGGATCTAAATAAAGTTGTGAAGCGTTTTGCTGAGCAACATGGAAATCGCCGCATTCAGCTGTTATAATCATGTTAACTTTATGTTATGCTCTCTGATGAGCCTTTACAGAGCTGTTACATTTTGTTTTGGCACCTGAGAAAATCTGATATTTCCTTTAATAAAATCAAAAGTGTTAAAAGTAAATTTAAAATTGTGATACTGGTGTAAATCCTGCTTAATATGAAGCAGTGTTGTTGTTTCTTTTTTTGTATATAAAGTATGAACCTATCCAGAAATGACCTGTATGAACCTACTCACAAAATGTTTTGTACTTTTACAGATTGGAAGCAAAATTTATTTTTATGTTGCTTCTTTTCAGATTTGTGGAGGTTTTGATCTAACATACAGTACCTGCCTTTTTGTTGATTTGTTGATACAGCAGCTCTATCTGCAGCATATTTACATGCATGAAATGTCCCTTTCATGTTGCCTTAACTGCTGTATGACAAGTTACTGAGGAACAGATGGGGTAAATGCGTGTTCAGAGTAAACAATACATAGATGTCTGGTACCTTGTTTGGGTGCCTTGACCAATTTATTTCTACTGTGTAGTTTTGCTCACTTTAGTACAGCTCAGTCCATAGATCTCTGATGGGTTAGTTTTTCTTTCTATAGTTTCTTCTTGTGCAAATGCTGCAAAGCTGCCTCTCTGACAGTCAATCTCACACATCTGCGACTCAGCACCTGGGTCTTACCTTAATACCTTTCCTGTGATAATGCCCCTCTAGAAGTAGTGTAATCATTCTTCTATCTCCTATTAAGTGAGATCATATCTAATATAAACTGCTTCACATGAAACACTTATTGTACATAATATTCTCACCAAACTGTGATAACTGCCATTAAATTCAGTGTAAACAAATGCCATATGTTGCCACCCCTCAAAAATTCCTGCCCCCCTCTTGCCACCCCATAAATATTTTTCTAGATCTGCCCCTGTCTCTAGTGTACTTACAACCAAAAAAAAAATCTGATAATGAGGTTAAAGATCAAATGGCCTCTATAGGTATGCAGGACTTTTAAAATTATCCTGAAGATTCAGTCTGCATGTTTCTGAAAATTTTCAGAATGTCTGATTTTTCTCTTATCTTTGATTATTTCCATTTAAACTCCTCCACAGTTTTTATCTTCAACTTAAAACATCATACTTGTAAAGACTCCAACTTCTTGCTACATTAGAGTAGACGATCCCAAATAAATCTCCCAGCAGCATATGATGCACAAATACTATTCTGATTTTATTCTCAAATTTAGCCATCAAAGTCCCTTTGAGAGGCATGGTCCAATTTTCTCTTATTTACTTATTTTGTACTGAAGTTAATTTCTCCTAGAGCTTTTGAGTTACAGATTTTTATGGCTTATGTAGGGAATTATTCATGTCATATGGACATTACGAAAAAAAGGGTGAAAATGTGAAAGACAGAGAAGACAAAAGAGACATATTTACAAAACTTCATGTGTGCTTCATCAGATGAAAAGAGATATAACAACAGGTACAATACAGAAACAAACAGAATAAATTAATACCGAATGCATAAAGTTGTAAAGTAGCTGAAGATAAAAATTGCACAGTGTGTAAGTAACTAGATCCAAGCACCTGATAGATGTTATTGGGAGTGTGCTTTGGCGGTCACTATACACACAGCAGTGCTGATATGCTAGAGCTGTCCAATGGCGCTTATGGCTTTTTCTGAATGTGTTCGTTACTAATTTTAATGAAGCTCAGTTAGCTTTCTACTTAAGGAACTGGAAAACAAAGACCTAATTTTAATGTTTATCTACTGTATGGGTAACAGAGATGCCTCATATGGTTTGGATCTCTTCCTTAAATTGTTGATGAACCCCCCCCCCAATGTTGGAAAACAGTCACAAAGTTAAGAATAAACATTTACATTTGTACACTTAAGTTTAATGCAAAAAATTCCATTTTATGTTAAAACTATTCATTACGGGAAAGAAAGAATAATCTTTAAACTCCATATTACATCAGATATTTTCATTAAAATAAACTAATGATTTGCTAAAGCCTATTTTCTGATGTATTTCTTTAAAAAAAAGAAGAAAATCAGTTGTAGGCCTTGAGCTCACTGGTGCTTTCATAAGAGGGACAGTTGTAATGAATGCCTTAAATGGTGCTTATGAAATCCCTTTACCTGTAAACTAATGATAAATAATAAATCTTTATTTACACTTTACTTTCATACAATATGTGTAAAAGAAATTTATTTATAGAAGATGAAAACTGAAGGAAATAAAAGCCAGATGACAAAGAAAAGCAAAGACAAAAGTTTAGAAACAATAATGCAATGACTCAGGACAGTGGGACCCAGGATTCAGCCAAGACAGATAGTGGGATAACTTAAAAAGCGTTTATTAAAAAAACGACGAACAGTTTGTGGATCTACAGCAGCAGCGCGTGCATGATGACATTGGTGGTGGACTGTAAGGATGCATGGGGATGCAGGGGGCTCAGGACACAGCCCTGATGTCAAGATTGTCTTTTTTTTTTTTATGGTCATTGCAGATATCAGGAATACATGTTCAGTAGTACATATCAAAACAGCTCGACACATTCTGTTCGGACCATGATAACATTATGGGTTGGTTTCTTGAATGGTAGAGGACCAATGTATCTATTTAAGTGAAATCATCTGGCAGCAGGTGAAGATGAAGTCTAAAAACATTGTTCTAATAGATCGAACCAATTCATCATCTCATGGGGTTCCTCCTCGTGTTAATTCAGTCTTCAGTGTTTGTTATTAACATCTAGATTGTGTAATGGACCTAGTGGATATTTTTTTATGCACAAAACAAAGGAAAAAAAAATCTGACAAAATCAGGAAATAAAACGGCATGATTGGCTGTAAGGAGAGCGGAGACGTATTACACCGAGTTTACTGAAGAAAACCTGATCCCCACCAGGCTAGCTCTGGGGAAAAGGTTACTATGGTGACTGAAAAAATGGTTGAGGAAACTCTCATACTGAAACAGGAATCTCAGTGTTTTTAATATTTCAGGTTTAGAAAACTTTAAGTTTTTAATAAACCTGCTTCGTGAAACGGAGCCCTTGCAGGATTAAAAGTTCTGGTACTTTGATAAAGTTGTAACTCTGTGTTTCTGTTTCCAGGTTGGTGGAGATCCTGATGCTGTGACCTACAGCACAGTGAGAGCCTGTTCCTCTTCTGCTGCAGCCTCTGGTGATCCCAACAACCTCTACAGTGTCATAGCCTTCAATAACTGAAACAGCAAAGCAGACCTGCCCTCTAGTGGTAACATGGAAGTTTAGTCAAAGCACAGTATACATCTTTTCTTGCCATATTAGCTCTGTGTTAAATGAAGAAGAAAAAAAATTTGTAAAAATTTTGACCTTTTATGTTTGATATTTTATATGATATTACACAGATGGATTCTGGGTTACATTGTAATCATCATCAAAAATCTTTTAAATGGTTGTTATAGAGCAGAGCAACAAAATGCAGTGACAGCAGTTTGTAATAAGCATAACCACAAATACAACTTTTCAGTCTCAGTCATAGTCTTTATCATATAGACTTTGTAAAAACAACAACCTAATCAGGTCTGCTTTTATTATCCTGTATATCTTTTTTCTGTTTCCCTTTTTATAAAGCTGCTTCTATAATGTAGTTTAAAAGATAAATGTGTTAAAATTTGTCTATAGATTGCTTTCTCAATTACATTTATGTTGTTTTTTTTTCATTTACATATAGGTTGTTTGTAAAGCCTAAATAGTTTTGCGTATAATTTTTTTTTTTAACATCATCATCATCATCATCATTATCATTACCATTATCTTAGACAGAAGGTATTTTTTACTACACTATAATTCTATGGTAAAAAAACATACATTAATATGGAATGTGTATATAAAGGAAAGTTGAAGAAACTAAGGGACTCACACATTGTCATTTTCTTTATTCTCTTTTTCTACAGCCAGATAAAATAACTAAACACATGTTCATAATTTAGGCTACTAACGAGGAATTAATCAGCTGCTCTCAAAGAAAAGCTAAAAAGTTAGACATAGATTATGGTTTTGTTAAGGAATTAATTCGTGTGATTTACATTTTTTATTCATTTACGTGGTGTTTTTGCATTTTTAACATAATGTTTGAATTTGACTGTTCATAGGAAAAGTTTGCTCAGTTTGACTCACTGGTTACACTGCAAAAAATTTAATCTAAATAAGTAATTTTTTCTTAAAATAAGTGCATTTTTTCTTTAATTACAGATGTAAGTGAGACACTCTGCCAATAGTACAAGACAATTTACATTTAAAATAAGAAAAAAAAAAAAACAATTGCATTGCCTTATATCAAGTGCACAATATCTAACTACCTTATTTTAAGAGTAAAAATACTCACTCCATTGGCAAATCATCTTATTTATCTGCTCAAATGAAGTGTTAATACACTTAATTTAAGACATTTTTACTCATTTTTAGATAGGTTTTGCAGTGTAAAATTTCATTTCAAATTTCCTTCTACAATTGAATAAATTAACATTGGTCATAATATCTAAAATGTGCTGCTTGTTTCTTGACAGAGTAAAATGAAGGGATTAGAAGATTATTCCGATCAGCTCTACAGAGAGCTGTTTGTCATAGATCAGTTCCCACAGAGACGCTTTAGTCCTTGGTTCTGGTTCTGATTTCTCAGTCTCTGATCCACTAGTTGGTGGTAAGATTTAAAACTGGTCAGTTTGTTCACACTGGCCTGTTGGTTATTAGATTACAGTAGTTGCATAGCAGGAAATACAAGGAGGAGATTGGTGGAATGGGGAGAGTTTTCCAGCTGGATAAACGCTTCAGCTTCATTTCAGGATATAAGCAGCTTGAAACTTAGAACTTGGAGGAAATAAAACAGTCCACATTATGAATAATTATAATTTCTTTAAAATATGATAAGCAATTAAGCTTTCTGAACTTGTGCTCCTTCTGTATACAGTATGGGTTCTCATCAATCACTTCCTCATCAGCTCATAGAAAAACACTTCTGAGTTTTAACTGGGAACCAGCAGGTTTTAAAAAGTAAAATACAATCTAACCAGTGTGACTGATCTATGAAATCAAACTTTTGATCTGCTTCTCTTCAGAAACACAAATAAGATCTCCTGGATTTATCTGATTGATTCTCTAGGTTTCTATAACATTGAAACAAAAGAAGAAGTGCATTTCTCACATTTATCTAAAGTAAAAATGTTTAAACACTGATTTTCTTTCTCTTCTGTGGACTTCTTGCATGTCGCTGTCTATAATTTCCTATAATAAGCCTGATCAAAAAGCTCTCACAATATTTGAGTATATATTTTATACTGCAGTTTTTTTCTTAAAATGTAAATATTTTTGTTAAAAGAATTAACTCATAGTTGATGCTTTAGTCCTTCATCCTCAGTAAGAACAAATAAATGTTTTAGAAGCTACATGTGTGTTCAGGAGGCAGTCAGACAGTTCTGAGGGTGAGAGCAACAGACGCACGATGGCTCAACTCAGATGGATTCAAGCAAGGGTTTAACTTTGTGATTAAAGTTGGTGGGGACGCTCAGGGGGAGGCTGATGGACCTACAGTTACTCGACCCAAACGCTTTCATTAGGTTTTTGTATTTTCCAAAAATTAGCTCAAACATATATTTATTGAATGCTTTCCCATTGTTGAGAACACAAGAGTATGGAGGACCAGTCCTGCCATAATTGAAAATAAATACACAAATGGTCCAAAAATAAATAAGCATACAATTAATTGCCCCCCAAAAATACAATAAACAAGTAGATGTAGATAGAAATTACATTATACAGTGAGACATAAATGTATGTCTATTTTAATTAGCTTCTTTCTTTTTCCGCCTTTGTAATAGGACCTCATTCATTTATTTTCCGTTATAATCTTCAACTTTATTTCTTACTTATTTTTTTAAGTATTTATTTATGTGCATGTTATAATATTTTTGTTTGGTTTATTCTTCCTTTGTATTTTTTTACCCTATTTATTTCTTCCTGTCGTATTTACATTTCTGTCTGCATTTCTGCCTCATTATGCAAATGAGGAGGGTGTGTCCTAGAGCAGTGTTTTTCAACTGGTCCTCAAGGCACACTGCTCTGCATGTTTTGGATGTTTCTGAGCTTCAGCACACCTGATTCAGATGATTGCAGTTCAGCAAAGCCTGATAATCTGCTATCAATTGATAACAGGTTTGTAGAGCTGGGAAACATCTAAAACATGCAGGGCAGGGTGCCTTGAGGACCAGGGTTGAAAAACACTTATCTAGAGGGTCAGCTTCTGCCCATTGGTTGGTTAGCAGCCACCGGCCACAGTCACAACAAAGGTGGCTACCTACGATGAAGTCAGTGAGCTGAGACATTTAGACACTGTTTTTGAAAACAATGCTAACGTTATTAGTATTGACTTTATTTTTCATTTGGATGCTCTGACAGACCATGTGTTTCAGTTAGCGGCACACATGGACACAGATGTCAACAATGCAGATTTTTTAGAATCTGGGGGAAGCAGCCCATCTTCTTAACTCGATCGCTAATGACTACAGTGAATTTGGTTTGAAGTTGGATATTGGATATTCAAGCTCCGCGGAGTCAGCGGGATCTAGCAAACGGTTGATCCAACTGAGGGACTCTGATGTCAGCCAGCATCTCTCAGCTGCTCCCTCCTTCCCCACGCGGTGGTGCAGTTAGGGACCGTCAACCAAACACTCTTGAGAAACAAAATTCAAGAAATTCCTTATCTTATGACCAGCTAAGACGAAACTAATATTAAATCATGTCAGTACATAACATATGTAAGGCACACTTGTTTTTATGCAATTTTAAGCTATTTTCAATTTTTAAGATATTTTTTAAGACAAAAGTTGGGGCTTTCTTCAATAGCTTTCAGGTCATGTGAAGTACTGTCTCAAATTGTTGTTGTACATTAGCCTCAGGAGGCACACTCATTTTTATTCTATTTTAAGTTTTTTTTTTTATATATATTTAAAAAAAATGTTATTATAAAAATAATGGCTATTTCTTCAATAGATTCCAGGTCATGAGACCCACTGGTTCTTGTATACTCCTTTGGGCATTTTGTCTTATCATGAGTACCCCTCTTAGGCAAAAGTATTGATGATTGTCCAAAACTGTAACGTACTTTTTTTTTTTTTTTTTTCCTGGGCTTTTATTGCCATTACACTGTCAAAAGTACAGAGCAATGAAATTCACTCTCTGCATTTAACCCATCCCATTCGGGAGCAGTGGGCTGCTATTGTGCAGCGCCTGGGGAGCAATGAGGGGTTAAGGGTCTTCACTCAGGGACCCAGAGTGGCAGTCTGTCTTAGGCATTTAAAAAACATAAGTATGTTGCCTGGAAGTTCGTAAGGAATCGAATACAAAATAAAATCATATGATAAACCTTTGAGCTCCGATAGCCCCGTTTTAAAAACAGCAGATACCAGGCTGTTCTCTACAGACATTCTGTTCCTCTGCTTGGTTTTGATTTGTGTCAAAGCGGAAGGTGAACACAAACATATAAGAAAAACTGGTTGATAAAAGCTTGTTAAGTTTTTTAATTGGGTCCTCACAAAATAAATTCAATCCCAGTCCTATTTTATTTTACTGCTTAAGAAATTCAAATATTTTCATGTACCGCTTGAATCCAAAAGAGTTGAAAAACAAACCACTGGACTTGTCCAAAATGTGAACATTCTGGTCCTTAAAAGAATGTCCTTTGTCCGTAAGGTGTAGATGTACCGCAGAGTCTCATCCAGAGGAGGTCGCTCTCCTGTGTTGGGCCAAACGTCTGTGGAGAGGTTGTTTGGTTTCTCCAATATAAAGATCAGAGTATTCCTCACTGCGTTGAAATGCATACACCACTCCACTCATCTTAGGTCTGGGGGTTTTCTCTTTAGGATGCACTAGCCTCTGTCTAAAAGTCTTTGGAAAGACTGACCTGGATGACTGAGTATCTTCACCAGCATACCCCTCACCGTTCATTCACGGGTCACTTAGGGGTACACGCACCCCTGGTTGGGAATCAGTCTAGAGAGGTGTAGCAGTACTACATGGATCTACAGCGATAGAGTATACAGAGCAGTAGAAGCTTTGGTCAGATTGATATTTATGGCAACATTAGCCATGTCTTCATCTAACTGAAATTCAAATTTTAAGTGAACTATTAAAAGTTTGATAAAAAGGAAAAGCAAATTTGTATTATTTCCATTTGGTTTAAGGTGAGTTACTCAAACACCACAAAGTGTGATGTTGTCATCCTTCGTCATCCATAATATGTTGTGACACATGGCTGTAATAAACATGAAGTAGAGGCTGTAATCTGGCGCTAAGCATCGATCAGTAATGCAACAAAGTTGAATGTTCTCACTTTAACATGTCTGTTAGTAAGGGTGATGTTGTTTCCAGCCATGTTTACTCACATAATAGGCACATCAGGGAAGGCTCTTGCATCAGAAACAGCTGATCAGTCATGAGGTAAAATTTCCCTATGTCATTGTTAGATAGGCTCCTGCTTGTTACTGGACATTAATATGTGGTTATGCTAAAATGTGTTGAGCACTAGATTGTTATCTT